ACTAATATGCCATTATGTAAAAATGTGAGTATGTAACAGAAGTGAGTCTGTATTATGTATTTGGGGAGTTCAAAACCCAATTGAGTCGAATGTATGAAAGATGATATGTCTAGAGCTCTGTAATGTTTTGAACAATCAATAAAAAAAAAAAAGAAAAAAAAAGAAATTAGAGCATTATGGATATAAAGGTGAAATTCACTGTGGTATATTCATATATGTACATAGGAAAATTTGGTTAGGCTCATTCAAAGTTCCTCCCTTTTCTGTCCCTTCTCCTTTCCCTCAACTCTCTTACTCTATTTCACTAATCTCTCTTCTATTTTCTTGGAATTTCCTCCCTGCTATTATCTTTTGATTTCCTTATTTTGGTCTAGCTTCCACATACGAGAGAAAACATTTGATCCTTGATTTTCTGGGTCTGGCTTATTTCAGTTAACATGATGTTCTCCAGTTCCATCCCTTTACTGGCAAATGGTATAATAATTTCATTCTTCTTTATGACTGAGTAAAACTTCATTGTGTATATGTACCACACTTTCTTTATTCATTCATCTGTTGATGGTCACCTAGGTTGGTTCCATAGCTTGGCTATTGTGAATTGTGCTACTGTAAACATTGAGGTGGCTGCATCACAGTAGTATGCTGGTTTTAGATCTTGTGGATATATACCTGGAGTGGATTAGCTGGGTCATAACGTGCTGCTTCTCAAAGTGAATCTTCACTTTCTATATCTGACCCTTATCTGTGTTTGTGGTGTGCCGTCTTTTTTGTTTTCTAGTGAGGATAGACTTTCCGTACTTCCTAGGGCATCTGGGTGCCCAGACGTAGACTCTGGCCTGACAGTCTTAATGAGAGGATGAATAACAAATTTCTTTCCTGAGGCAGAATTTTTAAATCCCAGAGAAGGCTTCTGATGGGCCTGTCCCAGAGCATGTACCTACTTCTTACACCAGTCCTGTGACTAGAGGAGAACCGAATCATAGAAAATGAATAGATATTTTGGCACCAGGAAGTAGAGCACTGTTGTAAAACATACCCCCAATTTTTAAGTGCCCTGGAAGTAAAAGCAGGTAGAGACTGGAAGAATCTTGAAGTGCATGATAGCAAAAAACATCTAAATGTCTTTGTATAAAATATTTGCAGAGAGATGAATGTTGAAGGCACTTCTGATAAATGATCTACATTTTATTTGGAAACTGGTGAAAAGGTGATATTTGTGACCTAGTAGCAGAAATAAAGCTAATTTTGTCCTACAGTTGTGTGGAGTGCAATCTTATAAATGATAAACTTGACTCTTTAGTTGAGGAGACTTTCAACAAAAGTGGTCCCTAAGTGCCATCATACATGTTTTTATAATAGATAGAGGGAAATTTGACCCACACCTAGGGAAGAGGAATTATGACTCCAAGGCAGGACCTGGAGTGATGCAGACGTGAGCCAAGGAATGCCAGCAGCCACCAGAAGCTGAAAGAGGGAGGAAATGACTCTTCCTCTAGAACCTCCCGAGGGAGCATAATCTTGCTGACATCTCCATCTCAGAGTTCTGGCCTTCAGAACTAGGAAAGACAAATTCTGTTGCTTTAATCAACTCTATTTTTTTTTTTTTTTTGGTAAGTTGTTACAGAAGCCACCGAAAGTGGGAATAGCTGATGAATGTCACAGTCTGGACCACACATCCTCCCAGATCTAGCAAGCTGATGTGATGACACCTCATTACCAAGCCACGCATTCTGAAAAGAACAATAATAACAACAACAGAAATAAACCCATTTCTACTCCCCCTCCATATCTTTTATGTCTGTCAGAAGCAGTGTTTATTAATGGCAGCAATAACTACCCTCCTCTTACTTTTCCCTCATCAGGATTTGATGCTGACAGTTATTCTCTCCTCCGATATGCTCTTTCTTTAGCTTCCACCATACCACACCCTCTGGCTTCCCCTCTGCTCTTCTTATTGATCTTTTCTTCACAGCCTCCTCTGTATTTTACCCTCTGCTAGCCAGCCTCTAGTGCTGGGGTCCCTTCAAGATCTGTCCTGGGCCTTCTTTTTTTTTTTTCTACTCTTTCTCTTTCTATAGCTCCTTCTAGAATGTCTATCTATTTCCATGGGCTCAGTAAGCAGCCATGGGCTCCCAAATTTATACTGCCAGCTCAGATTTCTTTTTTGAGCTCAAGATCTATATTTACAACTGCTTACTTTATATTTCTACTTGGATGTCTCATACTCATCAAACTTAGCATGTCCCCTCCCTACTCTCAGCCCCAATGGCCCCTCCTCCAGTATTCCTTATCCTGGTAAACATCCCTTATTCCCTTAGTCGTTCATGCCAGTGCCCTTAGATCATGTCCAAACTCATTTTTCTCCCCACGACCAACTTCTATCCATTTTCCAAACCTAACCATTTTACCTCTGAAATAGATCCCAAGGATGGTCACTTCTCTCCATGTTCATGGATATCATTCTACTGGAGGTTATAGCCAATTCGCAGATGGGCTTCTGCAGTATCTTCCTGTTTCCTCTGTTTTTACCCTTGCTCCACTCTAGTTTTTAATACAATAGCAAGAGTGGTCTGTTAAAAAATGCAAACTGAATCATGACATTCTCCTACTTGAAATCCTCTAAAGATTTTCAATTGCAGGTAATCTAAAATCCTAATCAATGTCTGTAAGGTCCTAAATTAACTGTGTGGTAGCTACTCTCATGTGCTGTCCACAATACCCTTCAGGGATGAAGGACACATTCTTTTAATTGCCACGAGCGTGGCCAACCTCTAGTCTTAAACTGGCAGCTCCTTTTTTTACAATATTTTTTTTAGTTGTAGATGGACACAATATCTTTATTTATTTATTTGTATGTGATGCTGAGGATCGAACCCAGTGCTTAAGGCAGGCACTCTACCAATGAGCTACAGCCCCATCCCCTGGCAGCTCCTTTTGGAGATTGCTTTTCTCAAGGAGATAGTCCTCCTTTCCTGGGTGACCTTCATCCAGTGACTGATGATGGGATAGTGATATAGAAGCCCCAGCTACTTCTCTTACCTCAACTTGGTCAAAATCAACTCAGCTAACTCAAAGTGCCAACTTCTGTTGATACTGTATCACAGTTCAACATTCCTCTTTGCCCTACTATTCTTCCTTCCATGGATGTTGATTCTGAGAACACTCCATATAAACCTCCTGCACACCAATCTCCATCTCAGTTTGCTTTCTGGAAGCCAAACCTGTCACAATCTGTGCAGCAAATGTTGAGGTCAAAGGATAGTAATTATCCCACTGTATTCTTTGATATTAGATTATATTCAAAATACTGTCATGCCTGCAACTCTCGGGGCTATGTTTTAAGGACACAGACAAAGTGGAGAATAACTGAGAAGGACAACTAAGATGTTGAGGAACTGAAAATCAATGTCACAGGATAAAGGGCTGAAGAAACAGAGCTAGTTACCTGGAGTAGTATTAACTCAGTACACATGATCACTATCCTTTGATTTTTCAAAGACCGTCAGTGGGAGAAAACATCACCTTGTGCTACTTCAAGGACTAGAATTAGGATTTTAACTGGTGAAAGTTCTTGGAACATGTATTGAAGTTTAATGTGTGGAAAAAGTTTCTAGTAGTAAAGTAATGGTATCCTTGTAAGATGGTGTGCTCACATTTACTAGACTTGTGCAATTTCATCTCGGGGATAAAGTAATAGATTTCTGAGAAAAGCATTGACCAGATGACTAACTCCTCCAGACCATATTCTTTGACTTTCTGTTCTAGAACTGGGCTTTACAAAGTACTTGATGAGTTGATAGATATAATCTGACAAATGGATTCCAAGGTCAAGTAAATTTTGGGAAAAGGTACAACCACATCAAGGAAGTTGTTTTATGGCAGGATTTTTTTTAAAAAAGAGTGTTAAAATGTCAAAAATGCATTGTGAAAGCAGCTAGAGGTCATCTAGGACTCAGTATTGCTCAGAACTCTTTTTGACCAATGTCTAATCAAAAGTTCAAGACAAATATTTGTGGAATCTAATTCAAGAAACTCTTTTTGGAATGTATGAATGTATAACAACAAACCATTATGTATAGCTATTATGCACCAATAAAAAAGTGGAATTAAAAAAACTTCCAAAACATAAAAAAAAGAAAAAGAAAAAAAAATTGTGCTTTGAAATATTCCTTAGAGTCAAGAGAGGATAATTCTTAACCCAGAATAATGAAAACATAGATTGTTTAGTACTGGCAATTAGGATTCCTAAAAGTGTAAATACTGGCCAAAGATTTATAAATTTCTTCCTGCTTTTCAGAGAGCACACATTTCTTTACACTTGTTCCCTTAGCAAGTGAGTATGCTCGCTAACTGCATTCTTGGAAGCAGCAGGATAGACAGCAGATAAAAGCTAGGGCTTTATCATTTTGGTTTGTGTTTTTTATTAAATGACACATTGAATCCTCTTCCGGTATACTACCAATTTATATATGGAGACATTAATAAAATCACTGGATAAAGAATACCTCCCAAACATTTATAGATAGAACACACAATTGAGAGAGTATAGAACTGCTGTTGTTAAATTTTTCGTCTTCAAAGATGGAGCAGCCCCCACAAATTTTACCAATTTTACATTGACCAGAGTCGTTTCTGTCTTTTTGGCTGTACAGACATTATAGTCAGTCCCAATTACCCAGCTGCCTAATTAACACCCATAATTAATTTCCCACACTTTCTCTCCTTTATTCAGCATTTCCAGTGGCAATGTACCCACACTAGAAGAAAGTACTAGTACAGCCAGACTCTTGCTTATGTCTGTCTTAAAAATTCTATTAACTCCTTCATATAGTGACCATTCTAAAGTAATTAGCTTAATACTTTTCAGTGGATGGGAAATGCTCAAAACATAAAATGTCAGCTAGTTCTTTTAACAATGAAGGATGGGTAAGAGCTCTTACTATTTCCAGGCCACAGTGCCTGTTGAGTAAACAGTTGCACAAGAAGATAGGGAAATTTAGAGGATTAGTCCATGTTTTTCAGAAATCTTATTAGTTATTATCACCTTAAAAGAAACTGTGGACTTGCTATGGAGACATTTATCAAGGGGACAAAAAAAGTAGCAGTTCAGAGTTGGTAGGAAGCATGTTAAAGAGTACTGGAATATTCAAATTAACACCTCAAAGTTCTTCTAAATTCTAACAAGGCAAACCAGATGATAGCAAATTAAATATTTAATTAATTATAGAAGAGCTAATCATCTCTAAGTCAAATGAATTATGTAGTACTATTGTGTAAGCAGACTAGTTTTTTCCATTTTAGGCACTTCCTGTCTACTGGAGCTCATTTTTAAAATTAATTTTTTATTTATATATGACAGCAGAATGTATTCCAATTCATATTACACGTATAGAGCACATTTTTCATATCTCTGGTTGTATACAAAGTATATTCACACAAATTCATGTCTTCATACATGTACTTTGGATAATAATGTCCATCACATTCCACCATCATTTCTAACCCTTTGCCCCTTGCCTTCCCCTCCCTTCCTTCTGCCCTATCTAGAGTTCATCTATTCTCCCCATGCTCCCCCTCCCTATGCCACTATGAATCAGCCTCCTTATAACAGAGAAAACATTCAACATTTGGTTTTTGGGGATTGGCTAACCTCACTTAGCATTATCTTCTCTAACTCCATTCATTTACCTGCAAATGCCATGATTTTATTGTCTTTTATTGCTGAGTAAAATTCCATTGTGTATATATGCCACATTTTCTTTATCCACTCATCCACTGAAGGGCATCTAGGTTGGTTCCACAGTTTAGCTATTGTGAGGTGTGCTGCTATAAACATTGATGTGGCTGTTTTTTGGTCAAGAATATACCACTCCCTCACACACTCATATGTACACATAGGCACTTCTAATACTGCACCAAACACCACTGATCATGTTTCTATAGTAACTACAGCCCATTTTCTTGCAGACATGTTTATACAATATCAATTTTAGAAATTCACTGTGACAAAAAAGGGTATCTGTTCGCACTTGTCCAAGTCAAGCTTTCTATAGCACATGTAATAGCATGTTCTTGCTATCAGCTAAAATTGTATTGTGTGTCAAGAACCATAGGAATTGTAGAATTGGACCATTCAATATTGCATCCTTCATGAACCAAAGTTCTTGAACATGAAGGGTCATAATGACAACAACCTAATTACTCTGTGCTCCACTGTGCCATCTATGGGCTGAAGAAACACTTTAAGTATGGTCCAAAATGCCTCAATGCTTTGGTAAGCCTTAAGTTCCTCTTAAGGGAAGAATATTGTTGCTTCCATAAACCTGGGTATTTTCCCAGCCTCTCTGTGAAATTTTACTTCCTCTCCAAACTGCTAGCAGATTTCAGAGGTATGAGAAGTCTGATGGAAATATTATTCAGTGTTGTCCCATTTCTAGTGGAATAACTATGGGGTTGGAGCCTGCTATTGATTGGTTCTATAATCAGGGAGAGTTGTTTATCCTCCTTGGGTTTCACTTTCTTCATCTATAAAATGTGAGTTTGGGCTACGTGACCTGTAAAGTCTGATTCAGTTCAAAAAATCTGTGACATTATGTTTAATAGAATCAAACAACATGAACAAATGAGATTTCACTACCCTGGATGTGCTCAGAAAGGAGAATGGAGAATAAATAAATAATCTTCATCCTTGTAAAACCAAGTGAACTTCAAAAAAGATCAAATATATATAATTTTTGTTATTAGAAGGGAATGGAAACTTCAGTCTAATGAGACAAAGCTAAGAGACTCTATCAATGAGTTTGTGACTGGGGAAGGGTGTTTCTCCTGGTACTGATTCCATGACTTCATTCCCTAGTGAAGAACGTGCAAGGTGAATTTGCAATAGGAAACAAGCAGGGAAAAAGAGGCTAGATGGGGCCAGATGTTCCACTGAGTGTCCCAATAGGAAGGTCAGAGTTATTTCACTCCAACTGGGAAGGAAAAGGAAAAAGGGGAAGAAAAGTTACCGTTCAGGTAGCACTGGTCTGGCTCTGAGGGTTCTTGATGCACCTTTAGATGTTTGAAATTCCCCTCTCTGCAAAGCATAGAGTCACTCCTTCTCCCCAGCTGCCACTGGGCTTGCTGGTATATTAAAGTTATGGGTCTTTTCCTTATGAGGTCAGGCCATTACTGCCTCTGTTAATCAGTCTGTCTCCTCTTTGCCCTTGCTACATGGTGTTAGCAGAGCAGAGTTAAAATATCTCAGCTGCTGCTCCAGCATTTGCTTTATGGGGACAGAGGCCATATTTTTCCAAACAAAAGTTAAGAAAACATGGTGTGACAAGTACGAATGTACCCACGAGGAGATGGGGGCTAGATATTAGTAACTGAGGCTGTCCTGGAATACCCCTGACACCCTGGTCAGGTTGGCAGCTTGCCATTCTTTATTAGTGAAAGGAGGGAGCAGGGGTTTTTCAGTGAAGTGGTATGATCCATCCATGTGTACCCAGGTTCTTGAGACTGCCATGCTTTGTCTTCCTTTGCCTTCTAGATGCCCATAGAAGTATGAGTTTTGGAGCACCCTTTGGCTCCAAAGGTTTTAGGTCTGTTAAGCATGAAGTGAAAGTTGAAAGTGGTTGAGAATCAGTTCCCCTCCTGTTTAGGAATGCCTGCCATCTGGGCTTTCCTTGCCTGATGCCACTGTGAAGTGCTGCTTGAATAAAAGTCTTGTGGGGGCAAGAAATTGCCCATTTTATTCACTGCTGCTTTTCTAGCACCCAGGATAGTGCCAAGTACAGAGTAGGTGCTCAATAAATACTTATGGAATGAACAAAGGGTGTTACCTGATCTAAGACCAAACTATACCATTTTTTCATAAAATTGTGGTAATATTAGAAATAAGAACATTTTGGAAAGAAAAATCTGTAATAGGAAAAAAGAAGAAGAATAATAAGAAGAAGACCATTCCTAAAGCCTTCCCATTCAGTTTTCCTTTGGGATGAATTCTCCTTTACAGTATTTGGCAGTATTTGACTGTATTTCCCCATGAATGACAGAACTCTCAAATGTTTCTTGTTTATTTCTTCAACCTAAACAGCAGTACTTGGAAAGAACAAGAGTCCTTGAGGTGCAATGTCAGATGAAACTGGGTGTGTGACACCTGTTTCAATCCAATCTTGAGTCATTGTTGCCTTGTTAGGGGCTTTTTATAAGATATGTCTGTACAATTCTATCTCCAAAAAAAAAAAAAAGCCCCTCAAAATAGTTAAACTGCTACTTCTTCCTTAAAGTCATTTTGGTCCTATTTTATTTTCCATTAAAGAAATCCAATTCAGCTTCAAGTAATAATAACAGGTTCCATTTATTTCAAATCACCAAAATCCCAATGTTATTTCAGTAACTTTATTTCTCAGAAAGTTCTTGCTACTCCAGAGTGACAATTTTACGTTTTTCCAAATGAAAAACGTAAAATTGCAATAAAACTTATCTGTTTGTAATTTCTAATAATTTGAGCAAGGAACGGGGACCATTTTACCATAACCAATTATTATGACAAAAATTAAAATTATGTAAACAGTTACCAGCAACCTATAAACACATTAACATAAGAAAATAATCATATACCTACTCTTTCCTATGTGTTAAAGTACATTCCCTAAGACACTGCAGTAGGCAACATTATCTAATTTAAATCACTACAAGAATATCTCTTAGGTGCATATGGTGCTTTGATGTGCAACACATTTAATTTTCACAGCAATTCTGTGAGACAAGCGTTATGCCTATTTTACAGATGAGAAAGCTGTAACTCAGAAAGGTTAATGGACTGGTTCAAGGACATGGGGTAGAGCAAATCTGGACTTAATTAAATGTAGGTCTTTACATGCATGATCCAAAGCTCATTTTATAGCCATACAGATTGCCTGGAATTTTAAAACATGCTGCAATTTAGACTTTTCATTAATCTTGACAGGCCTATTAGCTCAAATTAATGTGTTTTCCCCCAAGTCAGTGGATAGAATCAAGAGGAGCTTTGGGAAAAAAAAAAAAAAACCAACAAGAAAGATAAAGGCAACACTGATTGCTAAACAGCAATGATAAAAACTTCTCATACCCACAAGGAATTTCAGATGCCCCCACCTATATCATTACAATTCAATCCTAAGTTTAAAAGAAACTTTACATATCATCACCACTTTCAGCCCAAGGGAGAAGCCCGACCGCATGTCTATCTGGCCTGGAGACCATGAACAGGAGAACAGTGAGGCTGAATGTGAATATAGTTTCATTTGTTTGTTCCTGTTCTCAATAATGGCAAGGTTTTAAAGGATTTGGAATTGGTATAGTTTCAGATTTCTCTGCAACACTCTATAAAACACTAATGTTTTCAAAGACAGAAAGAAAATTATTTTCAACCTAAAATTCAATACTCAGCCAAACTATCAATCAAGGGAAAGAGCGGGAAAAAAGATGTTCACATATGCAAAAACTTTACTCTCATGAATTCTCAAGAGGCTACTGAAGGATGTGCTGGGCCAAAAGGAGAAAGCATATTAAGAGAGAGTAATAATACAGCACTGGTGCTATAGTTTGGATCTTGACCCAAAAGGCCCAGGTATGAAAGACTTGGTCCCTTAGGTAATGCTATGGGAAAGTGGTAAGTTATTTAAGTCATGTCCTTGAAAGGGATTATGGGACCCTGGTCTATTTCTCTTTCTCTTTGCTCCCTGGCTTATGATATAAGCAGTTTTGCTCTGCCATGATATCCCACTCTGATATTCCACCATGATATTGGAATATAATTCCCACCATGATATGGTTCCCACGTCACAGGGCCCAGGCAACAAGTACAATGGATCACAGACTGGAGCCTCCAAACCTGTGAGTCAAAATAAACCTTTTTCTCTTTATAAGTTAATTATTCCTGGGTGTTTGTTATGGTGACTGAAAATGAATTAACAAAACAGGAAACAAAGCAAACAAATCCAAGGTAGTGGCAGAAAGAATTCCCAGGTAGTGTAAAGGAGGATCCCAGTCAGAAAAGGCAACTAGTCCGGATTGGAAAGTTTCAAATATTTGTGGCCAAGAGCAACACAGGGCTCCATGTTAATGGCTACCCTTCTCAGCTTGGCATAATGACAGTAAGTGAATTTGTATTGAGGAGGTCTTCAGTGGTTAGACAATGAATTATATTTTTAAGATAAAAATTTACACCGAAGCTTGGCACCTCTCTTGTAACTATTGTCTTAGAAAGAGTCTTCCCCCTCAGATGTGTGTGTGTGTGTGTGTGTGTGTGTGTGTGTGTGTGTTTGCAGAGAATATTTCTGAAAAAATTCATAAGCCAGGAACTTATTGCTTCTGGGAAAGGAGCTGGGTGGCTATGGGGTATGGGAAAGGGATTTTTCATTGTGCACTGTGTATTCTTTTGATCTTTGTGAGTTGCATATTCTATGAAAGAAAATGTAATAAAATACATCTCCCCTTTCCCAAACATCTCCAGTTCAACAAATATGTAGATTAGTGTTCGATGCAATTGGTCATGGGAGAATATGAGTCCCCTGAAGGAGACAATTTTTGTTCCCCAGTGTTTTATTCTTTTCCTCTAGTTAGCTCAGAGGCCATCTGGAATGCTAGAGCAAAGTTATGATTTCAATATATATTTCCAAATTGTCTCCTGAATGGTGGTTCTAATATATATAACTAGCAGCAAAAAATTGAGAGAACCCATTTCCTTATCCCCCCCAGACTTAACTGATTGTTGTTTTTACATTATTCTATGATTTGGAGATAAAATTTCTGAGCAATACTCAGTAATGTTCTATTTTTGTTTGGGATTTTGGTACTAATTTATCTGGACAGACTTGATTTTTCACAACCTGGTGACTTACTGGCTCCTCTGCACGAAATTCTCACTCATGGGCCAGGCTCCACATGTTCTTTCTGTAAACCTTAGGATTTTTGTTGTTTCAGAACCAACAGAATACTAATTGTCCCCATGTAGTATTCATAATAAAGAGCTGAATTACTCTGCATGACAGACAAAATCAACTTGGCCACTGAAGGCAGCATCATAAGCATAGCATGAATTTCTCATCCACTGCTGATTGCTTCAAGCAATACTAGCATTGCACAAAAATGTCGGCTGGTGCCTTTGCCAGTAGCAAAAGCCCCATGTCTGAGCAATAGTGCTGTCCCAGGAGCAGACAAGATGCTCTCAGGAAGTTAGGTCCTGGCTGGCTTAGGTTGCATGGTGCAGTGGATTCTGTGTGGTATGGCATAGTAGAGATAATATGGCTTTCAAAATCAGCCTCATCTGGCTTGCATTTCAGCTCCATCTCTAGCCATTTGACCTTGGGTACTTTCTTTCTCTGAATCTCAGTTTCCTTATCTCTAAAATGATAACAATAATAACTCTTTTACAAGATTGAGGTGAAGATTGAATTGGACATGAGATAGATGCAAAGCATCTAGCTCATGGTAGGTGCTATAAGATGGATCAATATTCATAATAAGACTTCAATGAATGATAGTAGAAACTCTTACTTTTATTTTTGATACTTTAGTGAATAGTTTCATTGAATTGGAGGTATTCTTTAATAAGTCAATTGCATAACATCTAGATTTAAGTTATACATACCCAGACCAAGAAGAGGCCAAGAAGTGCAGTGCCTTCTGTAGGTAATGTACAGTCTAGTTGAGATAAAGCACAGACATAAAATAAATTTCTCAACAATTAAAGAACATAATCAGTAAGTTCATAGAGGGTATGGAGACTCAAAAGAGACATAGAAAGAAAAAGGTGAGGGTGAGGGAACAGAGGGAGGGAGGGAGACAGAGATGGGGGTGGGGAGAGAGAGAGAGAATGTTTTAGCTAGACCAGAGTAAGGGATTAGCACTGCACTTTGAAAGATTTGAAGGTAAGAGCAAAGAGCAGAGACATGGAGAAGTGTGGTTCATTCCCCCATGGAAAGAACAGCAAGAAAGCAAGGAGGCATGTTCAGGACCAGGAATGACAGGTAGAGGAATACAAACATGGTCATAGAATAAATTTCGGTCCAGCATGGGAACAATATTGAGCTTCTTTAAAAACAAGAAGCTATCCACTTGGCAATATTTCAGGCAAAATAAAATTCAGCATAGAAATTTTATTTTTCTCATAGAACAACTGGCTGTCCTTTAAGAGTTTTGTTGGAAAGTTTGATAAATCATTCCATGTGAATCTTCACAGATAATGAGAATCAGGCTAGCTGAGGACAAATGAGATAAGGAATTGTAGGCATGAACCTGACCAGTGAACTCTGAATTACACTGAAATTACCAAGTATATAATCATCATTTGCTCACACAGTGTTCATTCTACAGAGACTGCCAAAGGGGCAAAGGTTCCTGTATTCAACTGCATTTCAAAGAATTCTAGAATGTGATAAGAAAACTTAGGAATTATTTAGTTAATTTCTGTCCAATGGAGGACTTTCCTTTACAATTTCTGAAAGAAATTGCCATCAAGTCTCAGACACTACTAGAATGATATTTTGAGAATAGCGTTCTTTCTTCTCAAACAGATCAGAGACTTTCTGTGTTCAACATCTAACCATACTGTTTAATATCTACTGAGTGCCAGTTGCTATGAGCTCTCATCCTGGAGAGCTTCACTAGCTTTAGCTCATTTAAATTTCCCCCATTTGTAAACACTTCACTATTATTATCCCCATTTGACGAATGGGGCAGTGAGGTTTAAAGAAGGTAAGTAACTTGCCCACAGCTAAAAAGCAGTAGAGTAAAAATTTGAACTCAGGTGGTCCACAACTTGACCTCTTAATCAAATTCATTTTTCATTGATCTGTATCAGTGATGCTCATCCATTTCTTCACCAGACCCATTGAGGAATGTGTCATCCCCGTTCATAACAATGAATCCCTGCAGCATAAACTATCAATGGACATAGGTTAAATGCAGGGATGTTGTTTGAAACTCACCCTCATGCTCCAGGGATACTTCTAGGTCTCCCCACCCACAAATGATTAATACTGATCCATATATACTAGGCAACATTTGGGAAGTAAAGTCTAATTTTTAATACTAATCCATATGGTTAAAACATAACATTGTTTTTCAAATGGAAAAGAACTCTGTGAAAACAAAAAGTTCTATATGACTAGCATGGCTCCTGTAAAATCAATAGAAACAGGGCTTCTCACTTCATCTTGCCCTTAGAAGAGGAAGTCCATGCTTTGGGGGGATCATAGAGCCACCTGAGATCCATTTCTTTATTTTCAAGACAGTATCTCAAAAATCCAGCCATTACAAAAAAAGACACCATTCTGTCCAGTTCTTCTAGAATGCAGTAATTACTTATGTTACATCAGGTGTTTCTCTAGCTACAGTTTGAAAACTATCTCCTTTGTGCAACCAATATAGAATAAAGAACAGTTGTATGACATTTACTGAGTAGCTTCAAACCTACTCTTAAGATTGCCTAGGACAGTTCGTGGCTTTCTCTTGTCAAACTCCATAAATCTAATTCTTTCAGCGTGTTCTTACGAATCAATGAATTTCGTTAAAGCTCTGTGAGACATGTATGCATGTGGCTCTGGTAAGACCAGTTAGTTTCCCTCTGTTCTCTATTCCTGACCTTGATTTCTACTCCATTAGTCAGCTAAATAAAACATGACATAGACCAAGAGAGAAACTCAAAACAGACCAACACCACTCCTGAGAAGAGCACAAAGTTCAAAGTCTCTCCATAGAAGGACATTAGCATCATCTTTGCAGATAAAAGGCAGCACGTGGTCATTTTTACTCTAGGTACTATGTACATCTGAATTTATGGAGCTACAGGTATCAGATAACCATTTTCGTTGTTTAACTTTTAAGATTAGTTATGTCTTTTAGTTTTTATTAGATACAGTGTGCAGTAGAGTACCACACACATTGCACTGCTCAATACTTTTTTTTTTAAAAAAGTAATATGGATATGACTAAGCCATAACTGGAAATTAGTGTCTCATGTTCTATAGTCTTAATTTTGCATCTTGTCATCATTTTCTCTTTAAAAACAATAAATCATTGTAACTTTTTGTCAACTATTAATGCATATTTTCTTTGATAAATCTCATATTGTACATATAATATTTCTATGTTCAAATATTTTTCCCAGGAAGGCTTTCATTATTCTTACTGAAAGTCTGAGCATTGGCTTCAAATTCTCCCAAAATGTGAGCCTTAATCTTGTGCTTCAAATAACAGGTCAACTATTGGTAAACTTTACTAGTATGATTGCTATGACATGGGAGCCTCTGATGAATACGTTAAACCTCTCATGGACATAGGCATAAGTGATACACAATTTCACTCACTACTAAAAGACATTCAATGTGGCGATTTCCCACCGTACTAACAAGTTAACAAATGGTTTTCCTAACCTTTCTTTTCTCCAAAGTCCAGGAGTCAAAAGCAAAATTCTTGCTTTCACAAATTACTTTGGTATAGTAACTGAGGGATAGGTTACTTAAGTATTTTCTGGTACTGTTTATTGTTCCATTATTTTCAATCCTATTAGTTAAGTGGCTTCTTAAGCAGGAGATATTAATCAGGCTTGATTTTTTATCATTAGAATTTATCATTTACATAATGTTTTAGCATCACAGAGGCTTTTCTTTGTTCTGAATTAACCACATCAGGCTTTCATGGTGCATAATTATGACACCAAACCCTTTCTTCCTCTCTCTCAGCCTGACCTGGACAGATAGCCTCACTCTCAGTGGAAGGACTTTCCATTAGGTTATTTCTGTGGCAGTATTTGAAAGAAAATACTGGATTGCTCTCTGAGATGAAATGCAAACCATGTCTCCTGGAGAACACCTATGGCATTATTACAGGATAAGCCAGGTAGTTCATATCCTGATACATAGGAATCGAAAACTCTGTGACCCATGGTCTCCTTTCAAGAAACCAGAACACTTCCTCTGGTGGTAACTGTTAGTTGAAACCCTTGATGAAGGCAAAGAACATAAGTTCAAACACAAAAATAGTCACAGAAAACATTGAAATGGGTTCTTATATCATGTCTAGGACATGTCACGTTATATCATTTTCTTAAAAATAAATTACACCCCCCCCCAAAAAAAAGACACCGGCTCACATTTCAAAAATAATACTTTTGTCTGCCAAAAAAGGCGGGGTGGGGCTGAGAAGTGGGAATTGCCTGAACACGTGGTACTTGTCACGTGAAAAATATTTCCAAAATTCCAAGGTCTTTTATTTCTCAGGTTCTAGAATCTACTAATTTTTTGTTTCTCTTTCCTTATGTTCAATATAAAAATTAAAAAACAAAATTACAAATAAAGTAAAATTTAAACAATGAAACATTGTTAAGAAAAAAATTGGAAATAATATTAACAAAACATATATTTTTAGTTGTTAATGTTTAAACATCTTAAAATACAAATCCATTTTCCCTTAGCATTATTGTTTATATCATGAATATTTTGTAGTCTGCATAAATAAGCATATAGGTTTTAAATATAGAAATTATTCAGTATTTGTAGAATCAGTTTCATGATGAATTTTCTAGTTGGCAAAATTTTTGATGGTAAAATCATAGTCATATAGGAGAAGGTCAGTGATTAAGAGAATCAATAAAATGCTTCTAAATATATATTACTAAAAATGACATTAAATGACACTTCTAGAACACTGCTAAAAATTTTTGTATTGTACATTGCTATATAACAAATTATTCCAAAACTTAGATATTAAAAAACACAGACGTTTATCATCTCACAGTTTGTATGCGTCAGGAATTCAGGAGCAGCTTAGTGGAGTGCAGCTCAGGGTTTCTCATGGGGTTGCAGATGTCACCTGGGATTGCAGTCATCTGAAGGCTTCATTGGGGCTGGATGATTTGCTTTCAAGCTAACTCAAATGGCTGTTGGCTAGAGGCCTCAGTTCCTCTTTTTACATGCCTCTCCAAAGGTCTGGTGAGTGTCCTCACAATGTGGTAGTTGTGGTCCCCAGAGCAAATAATCTGTGGGAGAACCAAGAGGAAGCCACATGCCTTTATGTCCTGATCTTGGAGGTCAAACATCTTCACTTCCACCTTTTCTATGCATCAAAACAGAGTCATTATATCCAGTCCATACATAAGGGGAGGGGAATTAGACTCCCCACTTTAAAGAAAAGAATATCAAGGAATTTGTGGACGTATTTTAGAACAATCACAAATTCCAATACAAACTAGATTTGTTGCCTTTAAGAACATGATCTTCTTCTAATTCACCACGTTTATTCAGGAAGTATGTGTGAGCCTTGCAATGTTCTAAGGTAGATCCTCTTTCAAGTTACAAGTCAAGTAAACTACTTATCTTTAGTAATTTTTAAAAATTAGCCCTTTGGCTTTAAAATTTAGGGTCTTTTACACTTGCATTGCCTTTTGTTTAATTTTTATAAACCTTAGCATAATACTGTGTAACTGCTAGAAATTTTAGCACATTGTCACGATGCCTAAGGGAATATATTTTGAGGAGTGGGGTATGGGCTGCTATCATCTATCCTTACCCTAAGGTGGTGGAATAGGGGACCATTTTTCCTGCTCTCCTGCCTAGACTTGCCATGGTGGTCTATAAGGGGGCTGAATCTCGTTGCCATTTTCTTTTATTTATGGCAATTGAAATGATCATTAAATTGTTTAGGGAAATGCACTAAAATTTTGCTGCAGAAATATAAAACCACATTATCCCAATACCATGGCTGGCTAAATTAAAGTTGAAGGATTATGTTTTGTTTTTTCTGTCTAACATTATTTTGCAAAAAACTTTTCATGTATCTTCAGGCTTCATGTTTATCACTTTAATGGCTTCTTAATGGTCCCTGGAGATGATATACCATAGATTATATAACCATTCCCTAATTGTTAGCTATTTGTATTGCTTCTGATTTTTCCCTTCCACTTTCACAGATAATGTTGCTATAAACATCTCTATACAAATAACTTTCTTTTCCCAATATTTCAATCTTCTCCTTAAGGCAAAGTTTCCCAAACTGGATTATGTAGTCAAAAGATACATGCTGCTTTTTTCATTATTATTATGGAAAATGTCAAACAAATACAAAAATATAAAAAATAATGTAATGATCTCCATGTACCTGTCCTCCCAGCTTCAATGGCTTTTGCCTCATGGCCATTCTTGTTCATCTATTCCTCCACACACCTTTTCCTCACTATATTCTCCAAATTGCATTATTTTGGAGCAAATTCCATTCATCTGTAATTATCAGATATGAAAACTTTTTGGACTCAGTACAGATTGTCTTTATACCTCCAGATATTTCATATGAATTTTCAATCTTAAGATCCAGGTATGAGATGACACTAAAAGAATGAAATGTAAACGAAAAAACTGATAAGTCAGGCTTCATTAAAATTAAAAATTTTGCTCTGCACTAGCTCCTGTTAAGAGGATGAGGATGAAAAGACAAAATTACATACAAGGAGAAAACCTTGGCAAATCACATATAGAAAAAGATACACTCTATTTTGTACAAATATATACAGTAGAGAACTCTTAAAACTCAAAAGTACAACAAAAGTAAAAACTTGTAACAATTCAATTAGAAAATAAACAAAAGACACAAAACTTTCACTTCTTTCAAGAAGATTTACAAATGACAAACAAGCACATTGAAAGATGTTCAACATCACTAGCCATCAGGACAATGGAAATTAAGATAACAATGATCAATCACTAAGACCTGTTAGAACAACTAAAAAAAAAATAGTGGCAATACTATGCTTTTAAGGATATGGAGATACTGAATCTTTCATTCCCTGCTATTGGGACTGTTAAATGGTATCTACTTGCTCTGAAAAAATAGTATGCCTATTCCTCAAAGAGACTAGATGTATGTTTATCACGTGACCCAGCAATTGCATTCTTGGGCATTTACCCTAGAGAATTAAATTCAAGCTCACAGAAACATCTGTTAACAGAAGTTTTACAATGCAATTATCCTTCACTGGGTGGGTGGTTAAATGAAACAGTTCATCCATATCATAGAATACTATTCACCAATAAAAATAAATAAACTATTGATACTTAGCAATAACTTGGGGGGATCTTGAGTCATGATGTTGAGTGGGGGAAAAATAAATTCAAAAGATCACATGCTGTATGATTCTCTTTATGTAACATTTTGAAATGACAAAGGGGTCATGTGGGAGAGAATTTTGAGTGTTGGAATAATTTCTTGAATGCCATGATGGTTTCTGGGTGGCCACATTCATACATGCAATAAAGTGGCATAGACCTATGCAGACACATTTACCAGCTCAGCATCCTGGTTTTGATGTTATACCATAATTATGTAGGATGTACCTGTTAGGAAAAAAATGGGTTAAGGGTACATGGCACCTTTTGTACAATATTTGAAATTTACAGTGAATATACAAATTAAAAAGCTAAAATTTAAATGCAACTTTTTGAACCATAATTTTAGTTCATAAGGGTTACACTGAAGCATAAAGAACTATGGTGAAACCTATGTAACAGTCATCTCTATAGAGTTTTTCAAGACTTTCTTTGAAAAACTGCCCTGTGGTAGAAGCTGGAGGACATTTCTACAGATCGATCTGATTTCAGGAACACTTGGCAGATCCTCCTATTAAGATAGGAGCTTTTCGGGACATTGTGGGTAGACATAATTGAAATAATAAAGAATGGCTCTTTTGTGCTAAAAGTCATTTTCCTTAGGGAAAAGGATCCTGATGGAGGTCCTTTCACTTTGGAAAAGATTTCTAATTTAGTTTCCTAAAGTTTGAAACTCAGCATATGGATGCTTAGACTATCAATAAGGCACAGGTACACGGGGAGCCAAGAAACATGATAGAAGGGAAGGGCCACGTACTATACAAAATATTTAGGAATTTAATAAAGACAGCAACTTGTTTAGGAGAAAACGTACCTAGGAGTTTGTGCACACATGACTGTGTATGCTAGGAAACCTAGCGCAGTTTGGCTCCTCTGAAAACTGACCTAACAAAGATGGAAGCAACAATAATATCAAATCCCTCTTCTTCAGATCCAATAGGCTTCTTTCGGGCTTTATGATGTCCCTTTTGTGGTATATAATACTGACGGCCTGCTTGAGGTTCCAGGCTTGCTTTGGCTTTTATAACTCTTCTTGCTTCAACCTCTGTCTCTTGGTTATTCTTTCTGGGTCGAGTTTCCAGGCTTCTCTTGCCCTACCATCACTTGTATGGTGGGTTCTCCAGAGTCTGGTCCTCAGCATACCTCTCTTCTGTGCTTTCAGGTCCTCTCTGAGGAATCTCATTGGTGGTTTCCATGTCCATCAATATGCTGATGGCCTCAGATCTGTACTTCCAGCCTCACCACTCTTGACATTCAAAAGTCACACATCCAATAGCCTCCTGCACATCTGCACCAGAATATTCTCCAAGCATCTTCATTTTTTCTGTATTCAAAGCAGGACTTATATCTATCTGTCCATGTTTACTTCTCCATCCCTACATTGCTGAACATATTTCAAAGTGTCTCAGTCAGAAATAATGGTATCGGACCTTTATTTTCACTGCCACCTACCTCCTTGATTCCAACTTCTTTTCCATCCTACCCTTCTAAAGTCTCTTGAATCTGTCATCCCCTCCAAGCCCATTGCCGCTGCTCATAGTTTAAGCCATTTTCTTCCCTTCCTGCCTCCAGACTCATACCTTCTATCTACATCCCTCCCCTCCCCTCCACCTATCTCCCATGCGAACCCCACATGTTTTCTAAAGCACACATCTGTTCATGATGCCCTTCTATTGAGAGCACCTCAATGGCTTCTCACTGCCGACAAGACATGTTCCTTCATGGATGGATCTGTCTCTGGCCTCCCACCTTCCTCTCACCAACAAAAACCTCTTTTCAATCCTAAAGCAGCAGTTGCTCCAACCAGAATATTCACAGCCCTAAGCTTTTCTTATTTCTCCACATCCCCCTGCTTAGAACGCGTCTTCCCCATGTCTCTACCTCCCTCACCTCACTATCTTCCTTTGTTCTATCACTGCATCCTATGGAACTTTCTCCTTTCTTATCTACATGGCTTTCCTTGGTAAGTTTGTCTCCCTCTGAAAACTATGACTTTCCTGAGAAAAAGACTAATGCCACATTTGTCTTTGTCCAGCCCCCAGCACAGTGTCTGGTGCACAGTAAGAATTTGATAATCACAGCTGACATTTATTGAGCAGTTCCTACATGCCAGCCATGGTTCTAAGCCATCTGCACACACTCCTTTAATCCTCGTAACTCCATGAGACAAGTGCTATTTTGCTCCCACTTTACAGATGAGGCAATGTTACTTAAATTATGATTAAATGTACTTAAAGTGTACTTGACGAATATTTATTGAATGAAAGATAGGAAATGGATGCATGCCCAACTACTCAGTCCTCTTCCTGGGAATAACACCCCTCTGAATTTAATTCATTGTGAGACTGCTGCCAGCCCCATATGTCATCCTGGCATAAACTACTGCATGCTATGATGTGGAGGGCTGCAAACCCTCTCCCATCATCATGGTCCATTTTCTGATTCCGAGGTGTATCCAAGATGGGGTTCTATCGTACACCACTAAATAATTTTCATTGGAAGGACACACATTTTTATAGCCAGGTGGGTAGGTTTATTTGTTTGTTTTCCTGGGTTGAGGAGTTCCCATGGCTGAATTCTAAAGCCAAAGCCAGAGGTAAATTCAAAAGTCTTGTGTTAAAAGCTTCTTTCCTTTGTAATATGGTATCTCCATAAACCGTTCTTCAGGCAATTCTTATTTTTAAATAGACTTGAGTACAATACGAGAAGCATATTTTGATTCTAAAAGGAAGGAGTGTAGAGAGAGGGGAAATGCTGAGTTTGGAATCAGAAACCTGAGTTTTGAATTCTAGTTCTGCCACTTAGTAAGCAAATAACTTCTTGGATGAATCACGTAGCTCTTCAGCCTCAGTTTCTTTAGCAGATCATCAGACATTTGTCAAGCACCCAAAACATGGTAGCCTGGTACCAGACATTGCATAGATGGGGCATTATGTTTGCATAAAATGGTTGTCTTAAGGATTTATACAGACAATGCATGCTAGAACATAGAGACACCTGACACCTAAGATTTGGGATGTTTTCTTTTATACCCTGCAAAGTCTAAAATGACTGTTTTATAAGTAGAGGATAATTCAAATCCTACCCCAATCAATCAATTCTCAGTTTCTAGGTATTAAAGACTGTGAGAACAATACTAAAAAACAACACCCCAACTATGTAAATACGTACCCCCAAAGCTTGAAAATTAGTAAGTATTTTATGAACTTTTGTACTTTTAAGAGTTGAAAGTCCATTTGGCTGGTGGTTGAAAAATGTAATAGTATAAGCAAGTCTTAGGACACAAAAGGTAAAATAAATACTGGCCCTTAGTATATTTGTATAGTGTGTTCTAAATGACAAATGTGGAATTATAAGGAAAAGTATAGAGAAATAATACACTAATCTAAGGAGCACAGCTGAGAGTCCATTCCATGTTATAAATAAGCATCTCCAGTCTGCATGATGCCAACACCATTGTTTAATGTTCCTGCAAGTCCTTCTGCTTGGGACTTGTTGGCTCTTGTCATTTTTGTTAGCTTGTTTCATGTTACTTGTTAGTTGTCCTTTTTGTTCCTTTGTCTTCTGTTTCACTTAGAGAAAATGGAGTACCCTTTCCAAATACTACGTGTTCTTACTACATGTTTCTATAAGAAAACAAAATTTTAAAGTCTGGGAATATTCCAAAATCACTAACTGTTAATTAGTTTTAAATGTTGCATGCCTCCAAGGAAGTGCTGAAGTTTATCTCATAAAAAGTCACTGCATAACTTGAGTGATCACTTACGGCTTTCAATTAGAGCTAAACAGAAACAAAAAAATTACTATCTTATTATTTTTCTTAAATGAAGCATTGGCACCCTGCCTTTGTCCCCTCAAAACACACACGCATACTTGTGCGTGCGTGCGTACACACAACCATACACACACACAAACACACGCACACACCTATTTGAAACTGAAGAATATGGAATTAATTTTACTATCCTCTGATGTTACACATGAAATTCATTTATCTTTATCTATTTAATGAATCACTAGCTGAAAAATGCCTTTACTTATTCTGCTTTTGTTTCATTATATAAGTAGGTGTCAATTGCATAGTTTTTAAAAATGTTGCTGTAATGTTATTATCTACATTGCCTATATAACATTGTCGAGTACAAATAGAAAACCACCAGTTTGTTTTTCTTAAACTGCTTGTTAAAATGTTATATTAATTCTCATCACAAAAGTACTGCTGTATCATATAAAAACATTTTCTAAAATGCTCTGATAATGAAGCCATGATAGCAAGAATATAATACTCTTAACCTGGCAATTCATCACCCAGAAAACAATTTCCCAGATGATATATTGCCAAGATTCATGCTGCTGGATGTGCATAGAGAAGAGACCACATATTGTTCTGGAATCGTAATCTAGTATTACTAAACAATAAAAAGACAGATGTACAAACAGCCTTCAGATTGAGTATAATTACTTAAAATAGCTTTAAATAGCTTCCTCCAAAACTTATTTTCACTTAAGAATTTTTGAGGCTGCTGTCTTTCCTCAAACTCTTCTTATCAAAGATTAATTTAAATTAATCTCAATTTTCATTTCTATCATTCATTGCATTCCAATTAGCCCACAGAAAGCCTCCTCAGTACTACTCAAAGTTGTAAACCAGTCTCCTTCAAAAACCACATGCATCTGTCTTTCACTGTCAAACGCTACAGAGCAGCAGAACTTCAGAACAATCACAGCCATCCTTAAGATGATGATATTTAGCATCTACTCACAACCAGGGCTGTACATATAAGCAGACTGCATGTCAGATCTGTCTGAGTAATGGCTAGGTTTTCACACATAGGATTAGGTAATGTTCCTCAATGAAGTAAATTTATGTTTGATATTTTTCATCACCCTAAACATAAAAGCTGTAAGCAGCCACAACCCTTTGAAAATGGAATGGCCTTCTGTGACCCTCAGGCTGAAATTTAAGAGTTTTCTGCCGCTGATTCATTCCCATTCCCATGGAAACAGTCACTAGGAATGATTCTTCTGTCATTATTTTCAAGCACTTACCCCGATCCCCAAGAGCTGCTGCTGTGTCCAAGGAAGTCAGAGAGGGGAAAATGAGCATGAGTCTTGTGGAATAGACTCAAATGATTGTCAACGGATAGGTTGAAAATCAGCTATTTTTCAAGAGACCTGTCTTTTTAAAAATATGAATCTTAAGGTGTTTCTAATTATAAAAAAATATATTGCATGAACATTCTGGAAGGATACATAAGAAACTACCAATAGTTATTACCTAGAGAGAATTATGAATTGGGACAAGGGGGACTGGAATGGAAACTTTGTAATTTCTTTTTTTAACTTTTTATCACAGAAAATTTTAAACATGAAAAAAATAGAGAGATTGAAATAGTGAATTGCCATATTTCTATTACTCAATTCCAACACTTATTTACTGACAATCAAGATTATTTTATCTATACTCCCAACACCCACTAGATTATTTCACATTTTTCAGACATCATATAATTTAATCCATAAAATTTTAACTTTTTCTTTAAAATATAAGGGCAATTAATTTTTTTATTTATTTTATTTGTTGTTTTTAGGTACACATGACAGTAGAGTATATTTTGACATATTATACATATATGGGGTATAATGTATTCTAACTAGGATCCCATTCTTACCGTTGTAAATGATGTGGAGTTCTCTTAGTCATGTATTCATGTATGAGCATAGGAAAGTTATGTCTGATTCATTCTACTGTCTTTTCTATTCCCATCCCTATAAAGGAACTTTAAAAGCTAAAAATACAATAATATTATCACATCTTAATATTTTAGCAGTAATTTAAAATACCACAAAATAGTTGGTTTCAAAATGTTCTTATTTTAAATTTTCTTTTTCTTTATTGTAAATTCCATTCTCACAGAATGCCTGTTGATTTTTGGCCGAACTCATATTTGTAGCTAAGCTGAAGTTGCAATGTAACCATAATTTGAAGAATGGAGTTGAATCCCCAATCTACTAACTATTTTCTCAATAAAAATGTTATTAAATCTGATGTCATCCACCAATAAACTCTTTCTCATCTTGTACAAATGCTATTTATTAAATTGAAACCTCTTTCAGCTTCAGCACTACTGGTTTGAACAGTGCTGAAATATCATTAGATATATCATTTTAAACTTTTGAATAGTTGCAAAGACTGGAATATTGTTTAGTAAGATCTTGCTAAATGGATAAAAAGTTTTTTCAGTTGGTTTGTTGGTGTCACAATTAAGGCAAAGCCTGGTTGGTACTTGATCATCAATTCTCTTTTAACTATGACTTCCCTTTCCTTTCCTCTTCAAATGTATTACTTAAGAAATCAGACGGTTTATTATAGGGTTTCTTACATGCTGGTTTTTGCTGATGGCTTTCATGGTGTTATTTTCCATGTTCTACTGTCCCTGGTGTATCTGTAAACTAGAGGTGAGAGCCAGAGGCTCGAGTACATCCGGGTTTACCATGTTGACAAGAAAACTTCATTCCCAGTGTCCTGCCCTTCCATAAAGCGATAGGAAATGTTCAGTTGTCTCTCTTTTTTAGGATGTTAACAGAAATTGCTGAATATTGCCTAGAACCATTATTTCATTGGGGTCTGAATTCAGTGAATGAATCAACTGTTCAAAAATTAATGAGAGAATTTTTTAAATTTAGGAAAGAAAGTAATTTAATTAAACCTATCAAAATATGATAAATGAATACTAAAAAAATATGCAAAATGACCAAAGCAAGTTTGTGAAATTAGCCCAATCTCAGCCGTATCTCAGATGTGTGTTGTTGCTCTCTGATGCACATGCCTACTCTGATATAAATACTGATGAGATTGATTCTGGGTTGTGACCACTGACTGGGATTTACTATTAATTCCAGAACATCACTATTAATTCCATGAAATTCCCAATGAGCTGGTGCTATTTTGTCAATCCGACCCAGAAGAACCAGGCTATCAGGACAATAGGACACACACTTTAGGTTATATTTCTTAAGGAGGAATTATCTGCCCTTCCTTCCTTCCTTCCTTCCTTCCTTCCTTCCTTCCTTCCTTCCTTCCTTCCTTCCTTCCTTCCTTCCTTCCTTCCTCCCTCCATCCATCCCTCTCTCCTTTTCTCCCTCCCTCTCTCTTTTTTATTATAATTTCTTTTTTTATTAATTTTTTAAAATTTATATATGACAGCAGAATGCATTATTATTCATATTACATATATGAAGCACAATTTTTCATATCTCTGGTTGTATACAAAGTATATTCACACCAATTCGTGTCTTCATACATGTACTTTAGATAATAATGTCCATCACATTCCACCATCATTTCTAACCACATGCCTCCTCCTTTCTCCTCTCTGCCCTATCTAGAGTTTGTCTATTCCTCCCATGCTCCCCCTTCCTACACCACTATGAATCAGCCTTCTTATATCAGAGAAAACATTTGGCATTTGTTTTTTTGAGATTGGCTAACTTCACTTAGCATTATCTTCTCTAATTCCATCCATTTACCTGCAAATGCCATGATTTATTCTCTTTTATTGCTGAGTAATGTTCCATTGTATATATATGCCACAATTTTTTATCCATTTATCTACTGAAAGGCATCTAGATTGCTTCCACAGTTTAGCTAAAGAACTCAAAAAGCTAAACACTAGACAAACAAACAAACAAAAACAAATAACCCAATCAATAAATGGGCCAAGCACCTGAACAGACACTTCTCAGAAGAGGATATACAATCAATTAATAAATATATGAAAAAATGTTCATCATCACCAGCAATTAGAGAAATGCAAATCAAAACTACTCTAAGATATCAGCTCACTCCAGTCAGAATGGCAGCTATTTTGAAGGCAAACAACAATAAGTGTTGGTGAGGATGTGGGGAAAAAGCCACACTCATCCACTGCTGGTGGGACTGCAAATTGGTGCAGCCAATATGGAAAGCAGTAAGGAAATTCCTTGGAAAATTGGGAATGGAACCACCATTTAACTCAATTATTCCTCTCCTCTTTCTATACCCAAAGGACTTAAAAACAGCATACTATAGGGACAAAGCCACATCAATGTTTATGGCAGCACAATTCTCTCTTTCATTGATTGATTGATTGATTGTAATAGGGATTGAGGTCAGGGACACTTAACCACTGAGCCACATCCCCAGACCACTTTATTTTTTATTTTGAGACATGGTCTTGTTAAGTTGCTTAGGGTCTCTGTAAGTTACAGAAGCTTGCTTTGAACTTGAGATTTTCCTGCCTCAACCTCTCAAGTTGCTGGGATAACAGGCATGCATCACCACACCTAAGGTCCATCATTTCTTTAGTAGGCTTTCCCTTCTTTCATACCCCAATTTTTAGTGTACTTTTATTTGAAAATGGGGACTTGACTGAACAATGTAGCCAATTGCTAGGAACATTGTGACTGAATTAATGTTGTTACAAGAATAATTTTTATAGTATATATAAAGTATGAAGAAAATAAGTCACTCAAACTTGCCACTCATGTCTCAATACACCTTTATAAATGAGGGAAAACAATGTTTTCTTCCAAATATTCCTCCAATATTTTAATATATATACCAACATATGTAAAACCAGAACTCTGCACTTTACCACCCTGCTATGAAAAATGAGCCTTACTGCATAGGTTGTAAAGACACATAATGAAGTGGCTTTTCATCATATAAGGCTATGTTGGTGTCACCCATATTACACCTTGACCTGGTTGCTTAGCTAAACAAAGAGAAAACCAGCCAAACCTGAACCCACCAGATTATTTCCTGAGAATTGTAAGGAGACCTTAAGAGTTGACTGGAATGGACACATATGATGGTTGCCTTCTCACTAGAAAATTTGAGAGCTCCTGCTACTGAGGACCCAGAGCAATCCTTGCTTGAGTCTTTCTGTAGATTTCCTTGTTCAGCTTTTATTTAGCTCTCTGAGATAGTGCAGTTTCCTTCCAACATGGTGTTGTTAATAGAGTAAGTAGGATCTTACTATTTGAACTAAAACAATGTCAATTGATACATCATTATATTGCCACGTGTTTCTTATTATGTGAAATTTAATGCATACATAGATTTTTCTCAAATGAGTAGCTAGATATTTCAATATTACTTGTTAAATAATTTATCATTTTCCAATGGTTTTGAAGTAGCAAATTTATCATATCCTAAAATCATATATTCTATCCTCATTTTTTTGTTCACCCATTTCTATGCTTGTTTCACAAGAGTTAATTAATTTTTTATTGTAATGTATTTTAAATTCAGACAGGAAAAGGCCCATTTCTTATTTTTATTGTTCAAAAATTTTGACTATTCTTTTTAGTTAATTTTTATTTTAGATATTTTTAGAAACATGTTTTGCTTTTGTTAGTTTCCTTTTGTGTAAAATAAACATGTTTTAAAATTTCTTTTGTATAAGATTTTATTTAGGATTGAATTTTTATTTTAATATAATTGAAATTTTTAGGCACATGATATCTCTGTGCTAATTCAAATATTCTATTGTGTCCTTGAGTAAATTTGTAGTTTAAAAAACATATATATATATATATGTAACTCTAACACATTACTTGATAAGTTTATTAGAGAGTCAATATATTTGATTCCATTTGGAGTGAATCTTTTGCCTCTTTTAACTGAATTTAATAGTATATTTTAGAGTCTTAGGTTTCTCTATGTTTATGAGAGCAAACGCAGTTGATTGTCTTTTGGTCTGAGAGGGAGAGCATCCCCTCATCTATATACAACAGAGATTTTATCTTCTCTGACTTTTATGTCTTTCATTTTCTTTTGGTCTTGTTGCATTATTCTTTGATGATAGGAACAATGGTCACTCTTGTCTTGGTTTTTAATCTTAGTATTATGTTGTCTCTTGGGTAAGATTTTATTGTAAATAAATCTC